CACTCACTCCACTCACTCACTCACTCACTCACTCACTCACTTACTCATTCACTCACCTGTGCATGCGCATACATACACACATACACAAAAACTCACCCACCATCACCCCTCCATCACTCTTATACTTCCTCTTCCCTTCTTGCTTTTCTATGCTCAGTCTAAGTCTAGAGAAGTTGGTAACATGTGGGGTTATCCGGTCCTATAATTTTTTGGTGGTCCCTTCAGCACATCCATGTAATGGGACTATAATTCTGGATGGTTTCGATCATGACCTCAGGTCCGTCACTTTTTCAGGGAATTGGAGGGGATTCATCCCATGGACTTAGTGAATCATGTTTTCATACAGCCAGACAATGATGACAATGTAATGGGAATAGAATGTGAATACGAAGCTCTATTGTGATACAGTGTGTGGCCACCTTCTTGAGAACGGTCTCTGTTGTAAGCATGTACTGTATAGTCGATATATCTGCAGTCGAAGTGTTGAAACTAAGGCAACAAATCGGTTGGGGGGGGCCTACTTTGATGGGGAAATGATCAAGGAAATCATGTGCACAGGATTTACCCGCAAAATCCCGCGAAGAATCGAACCAAATTGCTGAATAGCAATCTATTTAGTGGCCCTCTTGTACCCAAATTTCGGCACATTTGTCTGACTGCAGGAGGAGTTCAAGGATATCGCGAAGTTAGCAGGCGCGGACACGGCATCGCATAGCAGAAAAGCTCCAGTTACAGCTACTGTCCCATTAGGCATCAAACTATATATTGACATTCAAGTGCAATAATGGCCTCTATCAGTTCTACCCATTGATCTCCAGCGTTACAACAACCATTGCTAGTTCTGGTTCTTAGGGGGTCCCCTTTGTTGCAAACGTTCACCACAACAGACCACAACCGTATATTAAACACTATTAATGTGCATGCATGCCCAAGATAGCTATGACATCAAAGTATTGCTTAAAGATCATGCTGCATGGTTTAATTGGTCGCTGTTATTTATTAAGCCCTGCACTTTGTTTTGGTTACATGCGATGTTGGGGCGGCTTTCAGGTAGTATTGCTGAAGCATACTGTGTGATTGGGATTGGTTTTCAGCAATGCCAGGATGCCTCCAGTAGAAGAAATGCCAGGACACATGTCTCATTCAAAACAGATGATGATTGTTTCAAACGGATTCCCACCTCATGGGTGATGACAATCGCATATATATATATATATAGATATACCCTCTGGTAAACATACAAGAAGCTATTGAAAAGAACATTTTTTTAAATAGTAAATCAACTATAAATGGGCCATTTTCAATAGCTATGTTAAATTACCAGAGGGTATATACATACACATTAAACACGATAACTCCCTGCAATCATCGACCATCATTTTTCAGTAGTGTTCCCTTTAAATGTTGTTGATGGTTAAAACTGTTTAAAATTATGAACGTATCCCCATGAACTCATAGATCCCAGCTATTTTGATGTGAACTACATTTGATTCCACAGGGTGTTGCATTGTTTGCTAAGTTGGTTCATTTTCTTGGTTTAACGATGGTTTATGGTGTATCTATATTTAAATATTTTGTAGACTAACAAATGCACCGAGAAGGGCACCATCTTGTGTTTAAAACCCCTTTTTTATTCCTAGCTGATTGATTGTAGTTAAAACTGATATTTGCCTTTCAAAAAAAATATAATATGCCCAAATGTACACCATTGAATCCCCATTGGTGGTTGGTTGGATTTCCCGTTGAATTTACCCTCTAATTATTTCACACAGCTATGAAAAATGGCTCATTTATAGATGATTGAACTACTGATTTACAGAACTCAAACCTTGTGATTCTCCAGTTCGCAAACAGTGAAATAACCAAAGAGTATCAAATTTGAAATACAATTCCATCCTTAAATTTCCCATTGGTTGTGCTTGTATTCCACATTAAATGCCGACAATCATGGCCCTATTCACAGTTGATAAGTGGCTCATAACCTCATTTATCAGTAGTACCACACAAGGCGGTGGCGGAAGTTTCAAAAGGTAGGAAACCTATAGGAGAGATTGGTTGTTGTGAATCAGGGATGGCAGAGCGAATCCACTGATGGACCGAAAGGTGCTTGAGGTCTCCTCTCTTTCTCTCTCTTTCTCTGACTATCTACCTACCTACCTACCTACCTATCTTCTATGTATCTATCTATCGATCGATCTATCTATCTATCTCTCTCTCTCTTTCATCTAATTACCTACCTATCTATCTATCTATCTCTCTCTCTCTCTCTTTCATCTGTCTATCTGTCTAGCTGTCTACCTGTCTATCTATCTATCTGTCTGTCTGTCTGTCTGTCTGTCTATCTGTCACCTGTCTATCTGTGGTGCAGTGTCATTCAGTGTAATGTAGCGTAGTGTAATGTAGTGAAGTGTAGTGGAGTGTAGTGGAATGTAATGTAATGTAGTGTAATTTAGTGTAGTGGAGTGTAGTGGAGTGTAGTTGTGTAGTCGTAGTTGTAGTTGTAGTGTAGTGGAGTGTAGTGAAGCGAATCGAAGCGACATCTGAACCTCCAAAAGTGGTCCGAACCCCTTGTGTTTTTAACATTTTGACTTCGAAATGTGCTTCGCGCCACAACGGCGTGCACTTTTTTGACATCTGAACCTCCAAAAGTGGCGCGAACATGTGGTTTTTTGCACATTTTGACTTGGAAATGTGCTTCGCGCCACATCGGCGTGCACTTCTCCGACATCTCAACTTCCAAAAGTGGTCCGAGGCTCAGGTGTTTTGTACATTTTGACTTGGAAATGTGCTTCGTGCCACAACGGCGTGCACTTTTTTCATCTCTCATCTCGCCACCTGGCTCCGCACCCGCCGCTTTAGCGAGCCTACTTTTCGACCCTCCGGAAACGCAAATCATTGGAAAAACACAGTGTTTCGCGACTTTCTTACCTTTTCGCGCATCTGCATCTTCTTTCTTCTGACTCTTTCTCTGCTACCCTTCTCTCTTCTAATCTTTCTCTTCTCTGTGCCTCTGCCCTGCTCTGCTTTTCATCTGTCCATATTGTCGGAAGTTTGACTTCTAAACTTCCTTCGAACAGTGATATTTTTCCACCAACCTCAGTCGCAGAAGTTATACCCATGCCATGGCCATAATTGGCGGCATTTTGTGGCCATCGTGCATGGAATCCAAATATGAAACCAGCAGCCCAGGCCAGGAGTGCTCGACAGTCCAGGAGGGAGGTGCGAAGTACGACCCCAGCACCGACGGTCGGCACTGCGGTTGGAGCGGCCCTGAGGGACAGCGCTGCGCCGAAGCTGGTGATAGTGGCTCGCTGGACCGAGACAGAACGCCCGGGGATGGGGTAAGCCACCGGGGGTGTTCACATGGTGGGTTGAAAAGTGTTTTTTAGTGCCCAGATGCTCCATGTATGGAATATTTACCTACCTACATTTGGGTCATTTGGGGTAAATGATGTAGGTCAATATTCCATACATGGAGCATCTGAGGTGGGCAGCATTGTGTTTTATCCATTTCGGATATTGAGAAGATATGTGTTTTTCCTTGATAAGACATACCGATTTGCTGGATAGCCAGAAAACAAGCCATGGTTCCTGGGTAATTCCTTGGCAAAGGGAACTCTAGTACTTTGTTCCATTCATGGAAATAAATACTATAAACACTCACCATCTAACATGTTTGTTGCAGGTTATGCAACAGCCATGTTTTTTTTTTTGTGCACCACAGGATTTGTATTTTTCTATAAATAAAAATGATCAAATCCACTCACATATAAGATATGCCCGGTGAAATACGGGTTGCTGACGGCTTGCAGCTTCGAGACCTGGGGAATCTAAAGGTCAGGCCAGGTTTTCATAGGGATCTTGTGGAGACCTTGTCGCAAGGGTTTCTTTGAACACAGTGTAGCCCTTTCCATCCACTGGATGATCATGATTTTACATGATTTTCCAATATGTTGTCATAATAGTAATAATAATTTTCTTGGGGGGTAGAGACCCATCTTCAGCCACACCCATATTTTGTCAAGCTGTGCCCGCGAGTTACGAGGTGGAACTTACCGCTTTTGCCCATGCAACTCTGATCGGGAGCTTTGATCCAAAGCCAAACATGGCCAGCCTTGAAAAATGCGTGAGTTCTAGTCGTTTGCCCAGCAGGACAGTGATCTTGTTGCTAATGTTAGAGTGAAGATGTGTGTGTGTGTCAGTGCAAAGAAGAAATTTGATTTTACATGAGTATGTATATATATATATATCGATATATTGTATAAAACCAAGAACAGGCTTTTGGTAAAGTGATTTAAGATGCGTTCATGATAGATAAATATCCACATTAGTAAATGAATAGTTTTGAAGGTGCGGTCGCCTTAAACGACAGCGTTTCAGTTTCGCACCACTCGGTCTATGGAAACCGCCGCATGGTTTCAGGCAGCAGCTGTCATAATTCGAGTCCAAAGACCGGCCGAAGAGAGGCTGCACTCGTGGCTTCTGAGGCGAAAGAAATCGCTTGGCGCGAGTAGATGCGATGCCCGTCGGATGCTCTAGCGGGATTTTTACGGGTTTTTAATGTGATAGAGTGGGAATATGATGTTTTTTTTTTGGGGGGGGGCTAAATTGATCTATTTGTGGATTGGTGAATCTTATGGTTTATGGTGATTCTTATATGGGTATATAGACTAACTTATCACTAGGGGACCCCACCTTGTAGACGTGGGTATGGCTCAGAATGTTTGGACCCTCAACATTGGATTGGCCACATTTGTGGGTCCATGCAGTACGTATCCCATGTGTGATCCATAGTCATTCAACCAGAAATTGAGGAAACATTGGTTGCGTGTGTGAATTATTCAATGTTTTCAAGTTTAAATAGATCAATAATTGATTTAGCCCCAATCGATGTCTATAGACTTAACAAATGGGGTCTACATAACCCGACCTTTCAGGGCATCAGCTGTATGGAGGGGTCTGCTAGAGAGCAGGAATGAACATGATGAACCGGTGGATCCAAGATGATTTCGGGGTGACTACCCTATCTTTAGACCAACCCGTGATAGACTGGGTAGATTCCGGTTTGGGTCGTCTCGTAGATGTTTTCTCTTGCTGAGACACAAAAGGTAGGAATATACAGATATGAATAGATATGAATGAACAACAAATGGTCGGGCATTTTAGGTTGATGAGGTAGAGAAAATGAAGATCACGCAGAGTCGTGCAGTATGGTTTTTCTGCTTGCGCATGAATCAAACCTCTTACCTTTTGGAAGTTTACATAGGCATGGAAAACCCATGGTTTAATAGGTGAATCATCTAGAAACTGGCCATGGGATACCTGTTCCCAAACTGTTAGGGGGGAAATTCTTCACCTGGCGGATGAACCTTGGGTCGCCTGAGTACCAAGAGGAAACAAAAGACGACCAACATACTGAGAGGCACAAGACAATTATATTTTTTAAAATTTTCAAACATATTTTTGTTTTTTTTCTTCGGTGCTATTCATTTCTGTTTGTTTCTTTTTGCCATCCAATATTCCATGCTATGCGGGCTGGTGTGTTCAAACACATCTTATTCAGCCATATTTGGGATGACCCAAACGCTTTACTATTTGTCAGTCCCTGATTTCAAGATGTTTTCGAAAAACCCTGGAAATGGGAGATCCCCAAGTCACCATGGGTTTCATTACTAAAATTGTCATCCATGACTTGGATGATTTAGGGGTACCCCCAATTGTTGAAGAACCATTTGGGTGCAAATTTTGTATGTCCCCTCTCCGCAGATACAGCCTCAGGGTACTCGAAGCAGATGGCATCAGCACGTTCAACATGGAGTCGTCATATTCACATTTCAAAACGTAGCAGGGATGGACGATGGACCTTGACATTTTCGAAGGTTTGGAGTTGCATCCTGCCAAGAATGCATACATCAGATCCACCTTTCGAACTTGGTTTTCGATTTTTTGCACCCTTCCAGGCCTCTCACTCCTTCCATCTGCCGAGAACAACTCATCAGTTTCATAGCACGGTTTCTGCGATTCCCGCTACTGCTTTAGTGACTTTGGTCGATGTAAGGAGGGGGGACGGCCTGTGCCAGCCTTGAAGTTGATAGCTAATTGCTTGAATGGGGAGGGGGTCATTGGCATCCCCGGAAAGCAGGATCAGAAAGTGATAAACAGCTATGAACATGCAAATAGCCCAATTCAACAGTCCAGGGGCCCAGGGGTCAATATGCTTGTGGATTCGACATTGCTTTCTTTTTTCCCGAATGCGTAGCAAGGGTTCCCGTTTCACTCTGGGGGTCTGGGGGTTGAGGGTGTGTTCGCTCGACGTTGCGTTCGCGAGCGCAACCGTCCGCAACCGTTCGCAACCGTCCGCAACCGTTCGCGTGAGGACCGTATGGCCGTGCCTATGGGACGTTTTACAGAGGTGGTCCTTTTTGGAGGTTTCACAATAGCAAGAGAACGTTAAGCAGTCACAGTTCATGAGGAATGTTGTTTTTAGAGATATTGCAAGATGGTGATTTTCGAATGTTCGTGAGAGATATGCAAGCAAATGTCGCATGCACGGAAGTGTTGCTGATTCAGGCATGAAGGTTGACGGCGATGTTGTTGAAGATCTTTCTTTGTAGACACATCCGCAGTTTTCAGACACGTGATGGATGTGTCCTTCTTTTTTTTAATATGGCGGGTCGCCGGTCTGCGCTGCAATGGCGTAAGCTTGCGCGCCAGAACTGCTTGCGAGGGCGTGCCGCGCGGTATGTTGCTGCTGCTGCGCTCTGGCTTGTCGCGGCTTGCGGCTGCTGCTTGGCGCTGCTGCTTGGCGCTGCTGCTGCCGCTAACTATGCTGCTCGGTGTCCTTGCTGCGGTGCTGCTGCCGAGCTTTCTGCGCTGTGTGCAGCTGATGTGAAGGTAAAACACAAGACATTTCATGTGTGATACGTTCGTCTCGCATGGCTTCCATGTCTTGGAAGGCGCTACTTGCCGCGCGCCACTGCGTTGCGACGCCAGTGCTGCTGTCGCGGAGAGAAAACAGATCCGGAGCAATGACGTTGTTCCACTGTTTTACGATAGGATAGGTTTGAGCATTGACATTTTCATCTCATATCATAATCGATACTTTAACATCGTTATCTTCAACATACGTGTGAGCATTCGGGTTCGTGGGCTTCATCTTGTTTTTTCCCAGTGGTATGCAGCAGCTGTGTCAGAATCTTCAAGGAGTAATGTCGACGGAGAATCGACATGCTTGGTGCCGAGGGTGCTATTGGGATCTCTGCGAGCATTTTATTCCTAATAGCGAATGGAAATCCAGCTGTGGGGCATGTTGATGCGTTGCAGGCGCATTTGATAAGGCCCTTAGCCGGGCCGCACATCGATGGGCTTGAGGATGAAGACAAATACTTGGTGTGTCAGAATTTTCCCCCTGCAAATGTCGATACTTGGAACGTCCCTCAAGTTGCTAAAAATTGTCTTCAAGTAAATGACTGGGTTGTTGCTTCCTATGTTTTGAATATATGATACAGTATGATATGTCGTTTAATGGCAGCAAAAGGAGGAGTAGTTTCAAACACAACCGTTGGATCGTTTGAAAACTGCCAAATATAAGAATTGGTATTATATATATATATGTTTTCTCCCGTTCAGCTGGAGTTATTAATCTTCATCACACGTTCAACAGTTATTATCCACCAAATAACCCAGCAGAAACTTATCTTATGAGGGCCCCACACTGCATGTGCAGCGTAGTGCATGTGCAGCGTAAAGCATGAGGAGAAGGCTTCAAGACAATTACTTAAATTCTGGATGGTGAATATACTTCCCCGTTGCGTCATGCATTTCCTCAATAAATTCGCTCCAGAAGACAAGGTGCAAGGTGGTGGTCACTGGCCACTTGGCCTAGATCGTAACCCAAAATCATAGGTGGGGTAAGCCCTTACCCAACTGATAGCCAGGTAAATACAATTAAAAAAACACCAAGTAGATGGCAAGGCTCTGGTAAAGAAACGGGGAAATGAGATTGCTCAAGTTTAGTTTAGTAGGAACATGTGTGGATATTAGGAGGAGATTGCCAAGTGCAAAGTTAGACTGGAAAAAGGTATCAAAATCAAGTTGCTGGCTGGTTTCAGTTTCAACAATGTGTTCATGTTACATCCTGAAACCTTTGCCACATGCTACTAAGAACTATCAAGTGTTTACCTAGTATGAATGGCGATCTTCCGTGGCAAATTGAAATTATACCAGAAGAGTAGAATTAATCATACTCACAGCAACCGAGCAACCTGCAAAAGGAATCAAAAATATCGAAAAGGTGTATATATATAACATGATACTAAAATATACTAAATACTTATTTTTATCATGGTGAAATCCAATAGTATATAATAGTATATAATAGTATATATATATATATCCATAGTTCAGCCATTATGTTGAATCATCCTGCAGCAGGTGACATCCAAAACAAGCTCGGCGATGAACCTTCGGGGACCCTCCATTTCGGCGTTTCTGCAACAAGCCGAGGCCGTTCGTGCCGTGGCCAGTGCGGAGAAGTTTTCTGAGAAAACTGGTGATTTAAGCTGAGAAAACTGGATTCTGTTGATTTACTGTTTTTTTTAAAAAAAAATACCTAGACCTTCCAAGTACCCTTTAAAATGGTGCGCAATACCTCATTACATGTAGTACGTTTACCCTTTTTGGGTTCTAGTTGGCGGGTCTAGGTAAATCTAGTGTTTTGTTTTTCTAACACAATTGCCACATAAAAGCTGCTTCCTATTCAGAGGTATGGCCTGGAAGACGGCGAAGGCCACAAGATTCACAAGACGACGAAGCGTGGAGATCAGAAGAGGTTGGCAGTTTGGCTCAAGATCCAAGGAACTGATACTTTTGAATGACTATGTCGCGGCTATGTACAAGGTGATTTCTATGGTTCATGGTAGATATATGTTTATAAACCAACTTATACAAAAAACTGGGCGTTGGCACCACCTTCTATGTTTTGTTGAAGAATGTTTCACGTCAATGTAGCTCTGCCAAGTGGTCGCAGCGAAGAACTTTCGCTTCCGCAGTCCTCCAAAGTCGGGGACTTGAGGGCTCTGGCGCAGAAATCATTTCAGCTTGGCTTCTTGAGGCTGCTTGCTGCAGACCATAGCGTGCTGGATCCTACAGTGTCTCTGCAAGCTGCAGGACTTGAAGATGGAGACCACCTGACAGCTATTGTCTTGGAGGCAAAGGTAGCTGCCACGGAACAGGCCTTTGCATCGTTCTGCTGTGGAGGTGACCGCATAGTCACATGGGGGTCTCCAGCTCATGGTGGTGACAGCTCCGAAGTCCAAGATCAGCTCAAGGGTGTCCAGCAGGTTCAAGCAACTCAATGCGCATTCGCTGCGCTCCTGGCGGATGGGTCAGTCGTGACTTGGGGCAATCCATTTTCTGGTGGTGACAGCTTCCAAGTCCAAGATCAGCTCAAGGGTGTCCAGCAGGTTCAAGCAACTTCGGGCGCATTTGCTGCCATCCTGGCGGATGGGTTGGTTGTGACTTGGGGCAATCCATTTTCTGGTGGTGACAGCTCCGAAGTCCAAGATCAGCTCAAGGGTGTCCAGCAGGTTCAAGCAACTCAATACGCATTTGCTGCGATCCTGACAGATGGTTCCGTTGTGACTTGGGGCGATCCAGATTGTGGTGGTGACAGCTCTCGGGTCCAAGGTCAGCTCCAGGGTGTCCAACAAGTTCAAGCAACTTCCGATGCATTTGCTGCCATCCTAGCAGATGGGTCCGTGGTGTCATGGGGCGATCCAGACGCCGGTGGTGATAGCTCTGCAGTCCAGGATCAGCTCAAGGGTGTTCAACAGGTTCAAGCGACTGATGGGGCCTTTGCTGCGATCCTGGCAGATGGGTTGATTGTGACTTGGGGTAGTCCAGATTTTGGCGGTGACAGCTCCGAAGTCCAAGATCAGCTCAAGGGTGTCCAGCAGGTTCAAGCAACTCAATACGCATCTGCTGCGATCCTGACAGATGGTTCCGTTGTGACTTGGGGCGATCCAGATTGTGGTGGTGACAGCTCTCGGGTCCAAGGTCAGCTCCAGGGTGTCCAACAAGTTCAAGCAACTTCCGATGCATTTGCTGCCATCCTAGCAGATGGGTCCGTGGTGTCATGGGGCGATCCAGACGCCGGTGGTGATAGCTCTGCAGTCCAGGATCAGCTCAAGGGTGTTCAACAGGTTCAAGCGACTGATGGGGCCTTTGCTGCGATCCTGGCAGATGGGTTGATTGTGACTTGGGGTAGTCCAGATTTTGGTGGGGACTGCTCTGCAGTTGCAGATGAGCTCGCATGTTTGTAGCATTGTCTGCGATAGGTTGCGCTGCGGTCTAAGATGCCGATAGGCCGATAGGTGTTTGAAAAGGCTGAGGAGCGGCGTGTTGGAGACCATTGGAGACTCATGACGTGCGATAGGTTGCGTGGTTGGACTGTTGGACTTGTACATGCCAAAGAAGAGCTTGAATTTGAAACCCAGACTTGAAAAAGGTCCGCACGCAACTGGGTGAACTATAGCCCTGAATACTGGCAACTTTCCAAGTGGGATGTACAGACAAGTCCAAAGTGGGGCCCCCCATTTGTCAGTTGGTGTAGTTTCACTATGTTTCACTCATTCAAGTGTTGCGTGATTAATATCCACCATAAATATCAATAAATCGTATCCTTATAGTTACTAGTTGTTGCAGGTGTGAATCAGTGTGAATCAGCGAAATCCTATCAAAAGTTAGCCCCAGATTTTCACGAGTACTGGTTGATTAAACAAATTTTAATCATGTGTGTTTCCATTTATAGAGGTTACACGGCCATTTCTGTTGGTAACTCACAACTTAATCCAACGCAGCAGCACTAGCATTTCTGTGAATTCACGGTGTCACAACATGTCACAACATGTCACAACGACATGGGGCGTTTCGGTACTGTAGGTTAGGTTAGTAATATACGGGAATCATCCCATCCCCATTATAATGTCAACCCCAGATTAATAAACCATGGTTTAGTAACTATAGGGGGGTACCCCCCTAATTGCCATAATCTGATACTTAAATGCTATTCCCCCAATGAAACAACCTAGGGGTTTATTAATCCAGGGTTGACATTTTTTACCCCCCTGAGATCCCCATTCAGCAGGGATCGACTTTCCAGTCTGTTTTTTCCATGACTGTCCTGACTTGAAAAATCTTTGGCTAAAAACCCACTTCTGCTATCCCCAAAAATCACTGCAAGGGATAGCTGAGTTGATGCAAATTAGCATGGAATTCTATGGGTGGTACATCCATCGTTCACATGTTTTTTTTCCATCTTAGAAGCCATTTGTAGATACACCAACCATAAATCCACAATTCCGCCATATATCCCTTTAAAATCTTTAAATCCCCAGCTGGTTTAACTCATGAGATCCCAAGAGATGCAAATATCCCCATCAAATACATGTTTTCAATCCCTATAAACCCACTAAATCCCCAGAGATCTCAATAAATCCCTACTAGTCCCAATCATTCTCCACAGTTATAGCCTTTTTCGCCCTTATAAATCCCTATCCAAATCTGAGGGGAGATCACCCCCCATAAATCCCCCAGTTTTAGATTTATAGCCCTATAAGGCACCGGAAGGTGAATTACAATATGGAAAAAGTCACGGGCAACTAATACATTAGCATAAGTCCTAGCAATTATCTAAATATTCCACAATATTCCTATGAAACTATGGGTGGCTATAGGTATTATGATTGGTTGAAGCGTATGTTTCGAGGAATATTGGGATTAAAAAGGGTGTTATTGTAATTCACCTTCTGGTGCCTCATAACTCTGGATAAACATCTATAAGTGTCTATTCATAACTTATAGCCCGGCATGAATCCCGGCATGAGGACTAGAACCACCATGAACCACCTATAAGTGCCTTGTAGAGCTATAACTCCGGACGGTTGAAGTCCTTTTTTAAACCCGTTTCAGCCCAATACCGCCAGGCCAATTTGGCATTGCTGAGCGCTCAGCTTCAGGCCGTCGACGCCACAAAAAATGCGGAGTTACCATGCAATTATGGTGGTTACCCACCAGGCTTAGGGGATATTTAGTTGTATTAAATATGATGTATATATATATAATATGCATATATAATATATATATATATACGCGCATGTATGAATAAAACATCTATAAATGATATGGGGATGAGTCGAAACCTGCGATTGCGTATATTTTGATGGGTGGATGAGCATCGGTGCAGGGTTTTCGGCCTTGGATTGGGACTGTTCTTTTCAGAGAGAAACCACATGTTGTCCGTATGTACCCTCTGGTAATTCAATAGGTTGCTATCGAAAATGGCCATAGAAATAGTTGATTTACTCATTAAGCATTGTGATTTTCCATAGTTTTTTGTATGTTTACCAGAGGGTATAGAAGCCGAACCTCAGACTGGCCAAACAGTGGTTAGGCTGGTTGATGGGAATGCATTGAAACTGGATAATATCTACAATCTACAA